CTACGGGATCCTTCAATGTCTACTCCCATTTATACTTGTCTCTGTAATCCGTATATACTCGTAGAAAATCTTTTAAATCAATATAGGGCATTTCAGTTCTTATCAAATCATATAATTTCATTTCGATAACAGTAAATTCAAGTAACAGTAAAAAAAAATCTAGTGACAACGGAAATATTTAAAACCACGGTAACCATCTCAAATAACTATTTCGATATCATATCGAGTAAAAGACTTGTCCCACATGCAACTCAAAATAATCGGTAACATATTCATCTTGAAAATCATGTAAGTTATGAAAACACAAATTGCGGTAAGATTACTACTCACAGTACTCGTGCCGAATTACCAAATGCTTCACCTCGAGCAATTCGTACAAATTCCTCCAATCAATCTATAATTACATAATTTCGATCTCATGTTAATTGCCTCATTTAGGCTAAATCTATCACTAATTTAGAATACCAAATCCTTCGAGTTTTATATTTTGTTGTCAATTCGCCGAATTATATTTACCCTTGCTATGAGTGACTTAAATTAGTCCAAAATCTTTTAAGTAAAAATGTATTTATATGGTTTATTCCCTTTACTGTTCAATTTCCTTAATCGTGTGCATAAATTGAAACTGAAATAACTTTATTGTCCATAATATTCCTTCTTAATTGATACTTATCTTTTGTCCTCATTACTAGACTTACCACATTCAAACCCAAACCGATATTGTCATTGCAATATAGTTAAACACCAAAACACAATCCTTGCACCCTAACTTAATTTACACCTAACAAAGATCATATATAATGAGACTAGTTTAAGTACAAATACATCAATACCCTTTCTTATTTCAAGTGGATCTATCCTACAGTAATATTGACTAACTTCCAATTGTATAATTTGCCCAAATAACTCTTATTGGTATTATATTTCTTATACCTTGTGAAACCCTTCAAATATATGAACTGAGATAAAAAAAATTACCAGAAGAAAAGAATCCAGATGAGAAATTCGAGTATTACCCGTAAGAACCAGTGTGTATTTAAAATTTCTCAAGGTTTGGTTCTAGCCTCTTTCTTCTTCTCCTTTTTTTCTCCTCCTCTATGGGTTTTCATTTTTTTTCTCTGTTGTTTAGCAGCAGCTTGCTGCGTTTCTTTTCCCCCTTTCCCCCTTTCACGTTTTTTTTCTTTTCCTCCAGATGGGCTTTGGCCCATTCTCCTATTACTTCCTTTTTTTTTACTTAGTTAAAGACTTATATGCCCTTATTTGTATATAGGGTATTACATTTGTATTACTGAAATTTGCGATTGAGAAATAGAGAGATGGAGAGAGAATGTCTACGAACAGAGCTTTTGCAGAACTGATTTCTACAATTTGAAATTGAGCTTCTGATTTCGACGAACTGAGGTTTTGATTTGTGTCTTAAGCGAAAATATCGAAGAACAGATCTGAGCTTTTGAACAGATTTGATTTCGACGAATTGAGCTTTTGAACAGATTTGATTTGTGGCTAAATCAATTAGAAGATTCTGTTCCTGAATTTTAGCACGCCTAATTAGGAAGATTCAGCTACTAATAATTAGTATTTAATGAATGTTATAATAATTGTAGGAAAAATATGGACAGGGCGGGTAAATTAGAAACTGTGCACATTTTTGATAATAAAGTTTCATATATGGTATAGGAAGGAAAAAATCTCTAATTTTTAACTGCAGGTTGAGCATATATTCAAGCCTATTCTGTTTATTTTTTTTTCTTATCAAGCAAATCACAAGTCAAACCGAAATAGCTTAGGAAAAATGAACTTACATTAAAAAAAAAAAAGATTAAGCTCTTAACCAACGTTAACTAGTTACTAATCTATACTATATTAAGACCCTATCGAAATGTTGATCGCCTTTTTTACCCTTTTTAAGTGAATTTTATATTGGATATAATTGTAATTGTAGTAATTAATTATTTTCTTTTGAAGAAAAATAAATTGTTTGTACTTTCCTTTAGGTTTATGATTCTTTAGATTTTACTTTGCTTAGGAAAGGTCTGCATATCTTTACGCAGTATATCTTTTTTATGTTTTTGGTTTCCTTTAGCTTTTTTTGTTTTGTTTTTTAAAGGTTTCCTTTAGGTTTAGGATTCTAAATTAGAGTAGATTTTACGATTCTTAATTTATATCGTGTCTTTTATTTTCATTGTTACTTACGGTGGGTCTTTTCTTTGTTTAGGTTTAGGACTCAATTTAAGTTTGGGTTATCAATAGTAGGTTTTGTGTTTTCTCTTTAGGTTTCGAAAATTATAGGACCAAAACAATTTAGAATAAGGAGTAGCTGACAACTTCTATAGAAAAAGCCACAATTTTTATATTCTTTTATCATAAATTCTTCATAGTATCAATATCTACATAGGTAAATTTGCCTATGATATGAGGTGAATTTTCTAACCTATAACATGTTGTTAAGTTATGCAATAATAGACGTTTGTGCATTCTTAATAAACAAATGCAAATTGAAAAGCTATCAACTGTGATATTTGTATATAATATCTCATATATGATCATTAGTTGAAAATTGACTTATTATAATTATTGTAATTGTTATTTGGATCATTGCATCCATAACATAATATTGGTTAGGCTCTACTCATATCAATTGAAGATTTTATAAATTCAAGATTATTTTTGTTATATATTTTATAGTTAAAATTACTAATTGTTATGACAGCTTTTGTTCTATGTTCTATAGTTAAAATTACTAATTATTATACCAACTCAAGCTGCTCGTATTTGGTATGATTTTTTTTATTTTATTACCTCATTTAATTGATTATATTATACGTATTACAATCGTAAATTTGTGTCCTTTAAGAGTAGCCTTTGGTAAATGGCACCCCAACATCTATTTGAAATTATAACAGTTTCATTAGTTCACGTAAACAATCCTTCTTATCTCATAAGCTATTTTATACAATCTTTTTGGTGCAGTTCCTAATTTAGTACGTCTTGAAAAGTATTGCCTTTATTGAAGTTCAACTATGATTTTTCTTTTTTTACATTTCGAGCCTTGAGATTGTGAATTTCCTTAAATTGCATGCTAATTTAACATTTTACTGTTAGAGGACTATAGTTCTCTAGATAAAAAAACTGCAACATTGGATGATTCTAACTAGATTAAATATGGTAATAAAATAAAAAGTTGCTAGCTTAATATTTTGATAGTACGCGAATTTCGATTGGATCAAAATACGTCAGTACATTAAAATAATTCTTTTTAATAAGTTCAATCCTTATTATTGGTTCAAGTATTTCTTTTAAAATTTCTTTAATAAATTATAAGATATTTTGATTGGCTTCTATTACTTTACTGCCATGTTGGTATTAGAACACTTGTGCGCACATGATTTCAGGTACTCGCAAAATCGCAATCGGCACTAATATTGAATTTGCAAATACGAGTATGTGCTAATTATCAATTTAAGAATACAAGAAAAAATTATTAAAAAATAGATAGATTATATACTAAATTTCTAAAAGATTATTTATATGTACATGAACGAATTTAAATTTAGTATACAGAGCTATCATAGGATAAAATAATCAAATATAAAAATAACTTTCTCCAAAGCGCTTATTCAAAAATCTTTTAAAAAACCAAGGTTAAAGTTAAAAATAAATTTTTTTTCCAAGTTTATATATGAGAAATCAAATACATTTCTTATATTATACTCCATACATTCGATCTATTGTTTCTTCAATAAATCAAATATTTATTAATCGAAAGTATATCTAATAAATATTTTTGTTATTACTTGATTTCCGTATTTGTGAATTTAAAAGACCCCTTAGGCTACATAAAGGAGAAGATTGGCGCTAAGAAAAAATTAGACAATAGAGAAAATTTAATTACAGTGTAACACTTAAAGTCAAATTGGTAAAATGCCAACTTGAAATACTAAGGATAAGACAACAAAAATAATATTTGTATTATAAATAGATTTATTAATTTTTTTTTTATATTCAACAATGACAACTCTGGTATTTTTTTTTATATATCTGTAAGTTATCTGTTTGTAAAATATTAACTCAATATTAGTCATGTTTGGATTTTACACTGTAGTTGTCAATTTTCTTGAGCTATAGGACAACCTCTTCATTCCAAAATCTCTAAAGAGATTTAAAAAAAAAATTCTCAATAGGTTTTATTTGACAAAATCTTTAAAGAATCTTGATAACAATATTTATGCATGACTTGCTTGTTTATTAATATTAGATCACTTAAACAATAAAACTTTCAAGGTATTCCGGAAGAGAGCGTCTTAAAAATAGATAAAGCATTTACGGATTTTTATAAAGAAAGATCTTTTTTCTTTGTTGTATTAGCTAAATGGGATCAACATTCATCATTCAAGAAATATATTTTTTGTTTTATAACCAAAGACATTATTTAAATATTATCTATGTGATTTTTAAAAAATTATATATTCATTGATATGGGGTACACGCGCAAACCCTAAGGCTAGTACATAAAAAACATCTTACCGACTTGATATATCTTGGTTGAAGCCTGCATGTAATCGATTGAATTCTTGGTCAAAGACTCCAGTTTTGGATCAAAACATTTTATGAAAACCAGTAATTTGTCATCTATAAAACAGAAAAATATTATTGGCATATACTTTGGGGATTGTTTGATATGAAGACGACAAAATTAAGATTACCTAACAAAGGACTTAAAATATATCAGTAGCCTCAAAAAATTCTACGCAGCATATGTTTATTCAATTCTCTGCTACCGAACTTGAGATAGTTTACTTAAGTCAAATCGGTGAGCATTCATAAGTCAAAACAATAAAGCATTTTCACCTTACAAATAAAGAAACAACTTTTCATAACACTACATATCTCAAATAGAGAGCAGGTTACAAATGCTTGAAAGAAAATCATAAGCAGATCATATTAGTATATCTGCTTGCAGTTAAAGAAGAACCTCTTCAAACGGCTAAGGCAAACTTGTGGAAGTATCCAAATGAAAGCATATTTTTCGACGCCTACCAAGATCCAAGCATTATCATTTACATAAACAGCATATGTCCAGCATTGTCACAACCGTGATACATCAGGTTAATCCCCACGCAGTACATAGCAAAATTGTTTAGGAGAACCAAAGCGCGACAAAATACATGGGGGCCCTGAATATGGCAATAGACCTAAATATTGTACCAATTAATTCACCTAAGAGATAGAGGAGTTTTGGGAGGTCCCGCACAAGGTTCAGATTCCATGTGCAGTTAAAACGAGACCTATTTACAGAAACCATTTGTCTAAGCATCCATTAACCACATAAAGCTAAATAGGAGGCTCACAGGCCTTAACAGAAGAACATGGAACTAGAAACATTCTCCTGAAGTCGGGGCAACTGAGGAACAGTAACTGGACCAGCACTTGTCAGACCACCATGGCTTGACGATGTCTCTGATGCGTCCTCGAATTTCATCCATTGTCCAACTTGTGTGGCGGCCAAATGGGCATAACTTACCGGAGCCACTGCACAACGGAATAGAAAGTCACGGTTGAAACAAGATGACAAGTTATCAAGCAAAAAAAGAAATATAATGTATATGCATGTGTGTAATCAAGCAAAAAAGAAATATATTGCGTTTTCCCAGTATGTTTATATTTACCAATGGATATAGCAGTAGTGCTTCTTTGATATCTGCAAAGATTGAATAACAATTAGAATTACTGCAACATTTAACAATTTAACTAGTGATAAAACTCAAAACTGCAGCTGTTATAATTTATATGTTGAGATTCTGTCGAGCTACGAAGAATTCAATTTATTCAATACTCACACATAGGACAGATTATGAACAAGGTCTTGAAGATCATCAGGTGAAAAACCAACTTCATCCAACAACACATGGTAATGTGTAGGTCGAGTGGTACCCTACAACAAAATTTAAATAAGCATCATGCGATATGAATATTCCACCAACCTTCTAACAAAGATGCACAAAGTAACCTTTGATAAACTACTAGTGCCCAACCCAAGGATAACCACTGAAGCTTTTCTCAGCTGTATCTTATATAAAGTTCAACAGTTTATATATCACTGGGAACGAACGAGTTACTGGATTAAATTGAATGTAGAGGAAAGAACATCTTAAAAAGAGAGAAGGAGTGAACATGAAGAGAAAAAAATGAACAAACTAACAAGTTAAAGAGGAGAAATCAAGCAGTAATTACAACTACTACTGCTTCAACCATATGGTAGAACAGAACAGAAAACTCACAATCATGCCTGCATGGGCACACAGGTAGAAGTCATAGTTCCTTGGATGACAAACTTTGTTGTCTATAATTGTCCCTGCACAAAACGTATGTGTAAATGACTTGATCGCATTGCAACTATAATTCACTATGACTTCTATTATTACCTGGAGGAACATTATCAGGAGATCCAGCCTGGAAAAACTTTGTATGATGATTTTTCTGAGCAACAATGATCACAAACTTCGGTGACCACTTTTCATCAAGAAATTTGCAGGCCTGCATGCACAGAACAGATGGATGACTTAGACGAGAATCTCTAGTACTTTCCAGATTCAAAAGTTCAATTATATATTAGGACAGAATTTATCAGAGTGCAGAACCTCAATGAGCTGGTCCAGTTCAATGTTTAGAACTTGATTAAATTGAGATTCACTGACACCATCCCTGACATTTTTCAAAAAAGACCAATAGCAAAACCATCAAAGAATCACACATGTAGGAAGTTCACCAGCTACATGACAAACAAATTAGGCAGGTGAAACACACAATGACAATGACAAACCATAGAATATGAGGACTATCAGCTATGTTTCACTCCCAAGAGTTGGGGTCAGCTACAAGAATCCTCTTAAACAAGAGAATTAACAGAACAAAATGAGTGGAAAATGTAGCATAACCATAACGACTCAGACTCCAATTTCATTTTATTTTCAATACCAATTTATGAAGCATTTAGACATTCAGAATATGTGGATAGTGTCAATGTCAATCATAGACCAATAGCACTTCGATTGGACATAATTTGCTGCAAACAAAATAGAAAACATGCTGGATTAGATCACCTGAATATTATAATATGCTCAGGCTTCCTTTTCCCGGAACTCACATAAAAATCTAGCAAAAGTTCCCTGCAATTTTGAAACTTTAGTTATAATCAGAAACTTAATTCAAGGAAACCAAAAGGAATCACCAATAAAATTTTGATAGAACCCCGCAATCAATTAGGAAATTAGTTTTACACCATAAGAAAAGGCAGCAAACCATTAGAAATTGAACCCAAGCAAGCACCAACAAAATTATGGGGAAGCTACTCACTCAAGATACAAAATGTAAACTATCATGCCTCCTTATTATCTCTAGTGCAGCTAAATTGAATCAAATATCAAAATGTAACAGGCAGAAAGTTGTTCTCTTGTATAAGTTCAAATTCTAAAAAAAATCAGGTAATTCACTCCCCGACCCAAAAGAGAAAGCTAAGCCTACAAATCGAACTCACCTCATAATCCCATCATCCTCAGTGTCTGAAACTTTTTTAAATAAGTTATCAATCATCTCCACTTTAGGAGATTGAGTGCGCACAGAAGCTCTATAACGAGATATTGAAGGCCACTGCCTTGAACTTACAACCTGATCAAGCAATAATATGTTGAATTTGTTTAAACAATTGGGAATAGAAGGTAATCATTGTCAATGAAAGAACATATGCCTTGAACTTGCAACCTGATCAAGCAATAATATAGTGAATTTGTTTAAACAATTCGAAATAAAAGGTAATCATTATCAGTGACTCAGTGAAAGAACATACTGCAGCAATTGATGGAACATCAGACTGGCCAGGAGAGCCATGTGATACGTCCATTCCAAGAATCATGGTGGGAACCTTAGATACCATGGGAATGGAAGGTGAATGCTCAACAGCTAACACAGAATTTAAACCACCAAGCTGCCAACAGAAATTGTGGGATGTTAAGACGGAAATGATGGAAGAAAGGAAGCACTGAACCAGATGCTCAGAGAACTCCCACCTTCGCGTTGATCTTAAGGAGAAGGTTTGTGAGATACTGATCGTTGACTCTTCCAGGAGCCAAGCATTGGGTTACTATACCATAATCAGCCAGATTTTTCCGCTTCCATGGTCCTTCAAGTTCCATCAGTCGCTTATGTTAGTAATTAGCAATTAGTGATATGTTTACTGGTCAACAGAACAAGTAAACCAGACGAACCATATATGTCACAATTTTTCCTCTCAGGAAGAAGGCAAAGAAGAAATTTCGGGGCACCGGGAAGTTTTGACTGGATCTCTTCAAACATCTTTTCAACTCTGACAAGAGGTGGAGCCCTTCTAAGCTGTGGAGACTCTTCAAACACTTCAAATGGAGCTTCCACACTCTGAAACATTAAAGCAGGAATAATGAGATTCATCTTGTATACTCAATCTTTAAGTATTAGAACTTGATAAAACATACAATTCCTTTCATCTCTCCAATTCTTGTCAAATCTCTGACTAGGCCACGTATGTCACAGCGTGCAGAAAAGTTGACAACAGCCCAACGCTCTACCTTTGCTGGATCAAAGAATCTCTGCCATTATAGATGAAAATGAAAAAAACTCAAAGCCCATCTTGACAACTACTATGCCGCAATCCCAAGCTTGTTTGTAGTCAAGCATATGAGGTCAAAGCCAACATTATCTTAGATGAGATTATGAGTAGAAATTCCATAGATCCACTGGAAAAATCATATGAGAAGATGTGCTCAATTATACCTTATTATTAAAATTCCACCTGCCATTTCGTGAGAAAAGGTCATCTCCATTTCCTGCCTTCAACTGCCACATAACGAATATTTAACCTTGAAACTCACAACATGAAGACTCGAAAACATAGCAAAAAAAAAAAGTTCAATAGATAACATACCTTAGGGGCAGGCAGAACACGCCCTTCAACCTGGGTGAAGTTGCTACTGATTGAGATGCCGCTAGCACGAAGCAGAGGCTCAGCATCATAATTGTTGGTTTTTAGAGCCTTCAGCAATCCAGTGGGAAATTAGTTAAGTATATACAGAGCATGCAAAAGATTCCATTAGGGTAGAAGAGACCTACATTGCTCAAAATTTGCATCCTCTCTTGAGGCTTTTGCCTAGACTTCTCCACCAAGGAGGACCTCTGAAAGGTGGACAAGGCTTTTGTGTACCTTTGCAATGAGACCAACGAGCAGAGCTGCAACATTCAATGAAAAATTCAAAATTGCATGAATAAAAGACAATACATAAAAGCTGTAAATTTTAACCCAGAGCTTTCACCTCGACAGGGAAATAGGTGGGACGCTTGGGCTTTCCAACATTGATGCACGGTAAATCAGCGGAATATCGCAAGTCTATGTTACGATGATTAACAAAGTAATCATAAACTGTCACTTCCGATGTTTGCACTTCACCATCCTCATTTTTGCTCCTCTGCTTTAGAGTAAACCTAAAAATGTCAAAACAAAGATGAGTTTTGCCCCATTTCATTATAGCAAATCAATGTCAACCATCCTGCACAAGTGCATCTTAGTCGTGTGGCACACATACGTCTGCTCGCGACACGATTTTTCACTCAATCCAGTTATTTTGAACTCTTGGTTAGCGGGAGCAGTCTTCACCCTTAGATTCTTCAAGGTACGTTTTGCCTGATCAAATGTAGAGAATCCTTTGCTTAGAACATGATTACATAAGAAGATGAATAAATCACAAAAATAACAACAAACCTTCACCCAATCAAGTGAAAAGGGATCTTTTGCATTTTGGTTCGCAATCAAAAAGTCAACAACAGGTCCAGGCTGGATTATCATCGTGGTAGACACATCTGCGAACGAAGAAACCGCAAGATATTGATCTCATTTTATTTGAGACAAGTATAAAACGTAAAAAACCAAGAATGTTTACCAATGTTCAAAGACAATCCAGACTGAGTGGTTCGAAAACTTGAATGGAACCCTCGACAGCCAAGAACACCACCTCCAACTTCCGCAAAATTCTTTGGGTCATTATGGAAAAAGGACTGTCGAACAAGCAGACAACCCCTAATACAAGAACAGTCATTACGCACCAGTCAAGAGAGGCACAAAAATACTTGTGCAGCAATCAACTCATCAAGAGAGAATAAATAGATATATAACTTACTGTTTGGCCGCATGTTGCCTTAAAATTATATCCAAAACTCTCAATGCTTCTTGAGAGTTCTCAGACTCTTGACCTCGCAAAGCATTCGCAATTGCCTGCATCGGAATCTTGGCAGCAAAGCTAATCTCCACCTTATAAGATTTTGATTGGTACGGCCGCCTTAATCTTTTCCTATCATTTTCATTTGGACTTCCATGTCTGCCAGGGCTAGAGTTGCCATTGTTCCCATTGTTCCTGTATGTAAGGAGGAGCACAGAGTGAACAATCAAAATAAGAACTTGGGAACACGTAAAACTAAGCCACTCAGAGAACCAACCGATTAGATATGACGTCCTCTAGGACAACTGTGAACTCTAATTTATTTCTAGGTAGTGAACCAATGGTGAACAAGCTTTTCTCCCCATCGTATGCAAAATCCTTCCCAGCCAATTCTGTATCATATGTTTCATGCACTCTATCAAGAACTTTTCTGCCAATTCCTTTTCCCTCGACAGGTCGACCATCCTCATAAAATAGGGCGACCTGTTAACAGACAGAGTAAACAATGACATGGATTTACATGATTGTATTCAGAAGAGAAAAGATAGAAACATATCAAGGAGAGGTATGTGAAAGCATACACTGTAATGAAAGAAGTGTCCGTCAACATTAGACACGTTCACTTTAAAGTGATTGGTAAGGATCGGAATCTTTTGTCCCTTGCTTCCAAGGCCATGCCTAGCCATGGGAACACGTAAAACCTTTTTCTTCACCGGCTCTGGTTCCGCTTTTGCTGGAGAGAAATCAGGTGGAAAAGGGGGAGGAGGAGGCAGAGCCTCTGTTACTCCACTATTGTCTTCTTCAGCCATTACCACAATCCTCTATCAAAAAAGAGGACAAGTTTCAGAAGATCCTCAGGAGAACTGGAAAGTTTTATGTAAAGATCTTTTGTAGGCAAAAGATGCACTTAGGAGCAGTCAATAAGAGAAACTGAATGCAGACAGCTACTAACTGCAAACTTATAGAACATAACCAGACAATAGGGTTAGGATAAAAACAAAATATCATTTCCCGTCTTTGATCTTAGATACCAAATGAGTTTTACCTATGCGATAACACATGACATGACAATTCAAATAATAATAATAATGGATAATGAACACAGTGATTTTTTGATTCTGCACGTCTAGCAAAAAAAAAGGATTCAAAGTGCTGTAGCCAATGCAGCAGCCAACAATGAGATCAGAAACCAAGCAAGAACCATAGCAAGTAATTCACTTCCCAAATGAATGCAAATAGGTGAGTGCTATGCCATGTCATTTTGCAAATACAATTTCCAAAAAGTTGCACAAAATCTAGAAGATTATTATACAACTGAAATTACAGTTTTCAGAAAAAAGAGAAAAAAAAAAAAGGAAAATGAAACAATAGAAAAACCTTTTCCTACCTGTCCCCTTTCTCTTGGTCGGAATTACTGACTTCCAAAAAAACAAAAAGGACTAGAGACTAGAACCCACCAACATAACATTCATTCAATCATTTTTAAAGAAAAAAGTTGAGGCATGATAGAAAACTATCATTTGCTAAATCTCTGCATGAATTAAAATACTGCACATGTGAGCACCATCCAATAATAACTTTTTTCAAGAATTTAGTACTACATTTAAGGTCAACATTTTGACCAGTATATTTTTCATAAACTACAACTTATTATATTGTATACAATTGCAGCACAATTTAACCTAAAATCAGAAACCCCAATAACACTTCAAAATTTTAACACTAAGAAGTTCGTCAAAATTTTCAATGGAAAACACTATCCAATAGCTGGCAGCCTGACACTATTATCAATCTGCAACATACATTTTCCACTTACCATACAAATACTAGAAAAAAAATTCAGGAAAAACATTTTTTCCAGGGAAAACATTTTCCTTCTTAGCAAACACCTCTAAGTGGAAATATAGAGCATATCACAGAAGAAAACATAACAAAACTCCCAAAAAGATAAAATAGCTAGACCAGAGGCAAAAGGATGGAATTCAAGGCAAAAAAACTATAAGCATTACTACTAAAGGGCCATAAACCAAAAAACATAACACGCACATGCAAGAAGAAATAATTTTTCTTTTTAAAAAGTACCAAGAAATAACTTTTGGAATTAGGTCTTCTTCAGCTTATTGGTTTTTAAAAAAATGTCAAATTAAACAGCCTTCACCACCACAAAGCAGCAAAAGTTACATTAGAAGCACAAAAAGAGGAAAACCCAAAAAAAACAAAAGATAATATTTCAACTACATTGCACTGATAACAAAAAAACACACATAAAAAGCCCAGAACTTATCATTAGAGGCAGCAAAAAGAGGAAAATAAAGAAACAAAACACAAGAAAATACTTAAACCACATTAAAAAAACTACATTGCACAGGTAATAACAAAAACCACATACTGAACTTCAAGGAAATATCAAACTTAGCTAAAACTACCATACCAAATGAGGCGGATGAAGAACCAGTCAAGAGCTGAAACCCTAATGTACGACAAAAGAGAAAAAAAGAGTGAGATAGTAGAGGCAGACCGGTGACAGAGAAGAGGATTTTATTTTATTCTACTGCATAGTAATTTTCGAGAGCAACTAGTGAACTAAACACTGTCCTTGACACTCTCTTTGACACCCACGTGTCCCCTTCGTTATAATCTATGTTCTCCGGAAAAAGAATTCAAAATTAGTATAAGAGGATAAGGGGAGAACCCAAGAAAGGGTACAATGGACTTTTCGAGCTTGTTTAGTGGTCGCTTTCTGATTTTTGGTTTTTATGATCGAATTAAAGATTGTTTATGTCATTGTTTGCAAAAGGCCAAAAGTGAAAAGTGGGTTAGTGTTTTGCTATTCCTATTCCAATAGATTAATGGGACATATGAAAGAGAATGTTTCCCACTCGTATCATCCTATGGATTGGATTTAATGTAGAGGATAGGTTGTTGAAAGACCAATTAAGGAAATTAAAAAGAATTTTAAACTGGCAAAGGAATTTTGTGATATTCAAAAAGTGAAGATTTATAAGAGCGACCGGTAGACACGAACAGAAATAAAAGATTTAAAATAATGTCATTTATGTTATGAAAATATTATATTGTAGATGTCCATTTATTACTCCGTTATAGATAATCTTCCTGAAAAAGATTATCCAATTAGTGTGCATTTGGACGTAAGAATTGTAAAATTCCAAAAAAAAAGTGTAAAAGATTTTCAAGTGAAAATGATATTTGAAATAAGAGTTGTGTTTGGACATGAATATAATTTTGGGTTGTTTTTGAAGTTTTGTAAGTGATTTGAGTGAAAAATTTTAAAAAATAATTTTTTGGAATTTTTCAAATTTTCGAAAGAAAATTTTATGGCCAAACACTGGACAACACTAACAAAGATAAAGTGACAGACATATAAAAGAAATTGATTCATCATCTGTAACATCTATCCATCCCGCAACTCCAATCAACCGATTCATTGAGTAACTCTTGAGTAAACTATTAAACTAATAAGAGCTGTATCGTCTAACTTCATTTAAAATTAAAACTTTAATTTTTATAGAATCAAAATATTTCGAAAAAAAGCCAAAAAGTTTCGAAAAAGAGTGAAAAAAATCGTATGTCCAAAATCAATATCTCTGTCGGACGGCATGCTCGGAAGATTAGCTAGAAATACATCAGGGAAATCCCTCACTACTAGTACTGACTTAACTGTAGGGGTATCAATACTGACATCTCTCACATAGGCTAGATACGCGTCACACCCCTTCTTAACCATTCGTTGAGCTTTAAGAAATGAAATAACTCTGCTGGGAGTCTAATCTAATGTACCCCTCCACTCTAATCGCGGTAAACCTGGCATAGCCAGCGTCACGGTCTTAGCGTGACAATCAAGAATAGCATAATGGGCCGACAACCATTCCATGCCCAAGATAACATCAAAATCTACCATGTTGAGCAATAATAAATCGACTCTGGTCTTAAAACCACTAATAACAATCAAGCACGACCGATATACGCGGTCCACAACAAGAGAATCTCCCACAAGAGTAGACGCATAAACAAGGGAACTTAAAGAATCTCGAGATACACCCAAATGCGGGGCAAAATAAGATGACACATAAGAATAAGTGGAGCCTGGATCGAATAAAACCAATGCATCTCTATGACAGACCAGAACAATATCTGTAATGACAGAATCAGAAGTAACAGCCTTTGTACGAGTAGGAAAGGCATAGTATCTAGCCTGGCCTCCCCCTCTAGGGCGACCTCTACCACCCTGACCTCCACCTCGGGCTGGCTGAGCAGGTGGAGTGGCAGCTGGTGCCGTAATCATAGCTTGGGAACCCTGTGGAGCACGTTGTGGCTGGGAAGTCTGAGGAGGTGCACCCCTCCTAAGTATGGGGCAATCCCTCACTATATGGTGAGTGTCGCCACACTCAAAACAAGCTCTGGGAGGACGTGGGGCTGTGGCTGACTCGACCCAAGTCTGCTAGACTGACCGCTAAAAGCATCCAGTGCAGGAGGCGCACTAGATACTGGCGGTGCATAATAAGACTCTTGGGATCTAGGAGGAGATGGAATACCACTGGCGGCTAGAAGAGCTGAATAAACAGCGCGACTCACATAGCCCCTACCATGACGAACTGCAGCTAGGGCACGGGCACCAGAATAATGGCCAGACTCTCCAGACCTATTGGCCTCTCTCTCCTCCTTATCCCGAGTAAGCATGCCCTCTACTCTCCTAGCAATACTCACCACCTGCTGATACGAGATATCCATCTCTAACACCCGGGCCATGCTAGTCCTGATGCTGGCAATGAGTCCCTCAATAAACCGACGGACCCTCTCTCGAACTTTAGATACCAAGGCCGGTGTATGTCTAGACAAGTCACTGAAACGGACTGCATACTCTGAAACAGTCATAGTACCATGGCGCAACTGCTCAAACTCCGTGCGTCATACGTCCCTGAGGCTCTGAGGGATATAATCTCTCAAAAACATGTCCGAGAACTGAGTTCATGTAAGGGAAGTTGCCTCAGCCGGACTGTCCAACTCATAAGTACGCCACCACTGATAGGCTGCTCCTCGAAGCTAAAAAGCAGTGAAAGAAACCCCACTCGACTCTGCTATGCCTATAGTGCGAAGGATACTGGGGTACTCCTCCAGAAATCCCTGAGCATCCTCTGACGCTAGACCACTGAATGTAGGAGGGTCGTACTTCTTGTACCTATTGAGCCTACGCTGCTCCTCCTCTGAAGTTGTTGCCCTACCCTCGGGCTGAACTGGGGCTACAGGTGGTACCGATATAACCTTTGGAATCTGATCAACCTGAACCCGCTGCTCTAGGGTGCGGGCGACGGGAGTTTGTGCTCCTCCCCCGGCCTGAGATGTGGCTGGAGCAAGGGGAATCAACCATGCCTGAGCTAGAGTACCAAACATGCTCAAGAACTGTGCAAGGGTCTCCCGAAGAGCTGGTGTAGTAATAGTACGCACCTCAGGTATCTAGTCTCTGATTGGAGCTGCTGGTGGCTCCTCTGTAGCAGCTCGCTCGGGTGCTCTGGCTGCACCACGTGAGCGTCTTCGGCCTCTACCCCGGCCCCGGACTCGGGCGGCTCTAGTAGGGGCGTGGGTGCTTGGTCATCTCTGGCTGCGCGTGTCCTTATCATCTGTGAGAGAATAGAAGACAGAAGTTTAGAATTTCAAAGTCTATAATCTCGCACGACAAGGAATTAAATGAAGTGGAACTCCTAACACTTCCATAGCCTCCCGAAGATAAGTACAGACGTCTCCGTACCGATCGCGAGACTCTAATAAATCGGCTTGTGACTCACGACTCCTACGAACCTAGAGCTCTGATACCGACTTATCACAACCCAAGTTCTTCCTCCGTGAATCGTCGTGACGGCACCTAGTCTCTACGACTGGGTAAGCCTAATATTCGCGGAAAATGAAATGAAATCATGAAAGCTAACAACCAACAGGTAAATTTAAATAAGAAACTAAGATGCCGCTCGGCATTTACAATAACCACTCTCAAGGTGTACATAAACTCTCCCAAAACCCGGAATATGATAAGTGACAAGCTACAGAAAGAAAACAGTGCTTTTGTACTCCATAGTCTAATAAAAAAGAAATACAAGAAGTGTTTGACATGGGGAAGAGTAGATAGGAACTCCGAGGTCTGCGGACGCGGCAGATATATCTTGAAGTCTTTACAGCTGCCTTGCCTCACTAATAATGCGGCTGATAAGAGGTACCTGGATCTGCACACGAAAAAACATGTGCAAGGAAGGGCATCAGTACACCACAATGGTACCTAGTAAGTGCCAAGCCTAACCTTGGTCGAGTAGTGATGAGATCAGGTCAGGGCCCTACTAGTATAAACATAATGAAATAAGACAGGATTAAATATCGCAGTAAAATAAATACGGAAATCTAACAGGAATGGAATCATAGAAAGACAACAGCTCAGAACATAGAGATAACAACAGGGGATCTCCCGAGATACCGTCTCGTAGTTCCAAACGTAAATGTGCAGGGGGATCTCCCGGAATACCGTTCCGTAGTCCCAAAGTAAATATGCAGTGCAGGGGGATCTCCTGGAATACCGTTCTATAGTCCCAAAGTAAATATGCAGTACAGGGGGATCTCCCGGAATACCGTTCCGTAATCCCAAAGTAAATATACAGCTCAACTAACAGAAATAGCAATTACAGCAAGAAAACCTACAGTTTAGACTAAGTTCATGTCAAGGAAAGCAGGAAATTTCACTTAACATGCTGCACAGAGTTCAGATAGGCAGGTAAAACACGTAGGCATGCTAATCTAAACTAAAAAGCGGATAGTTACATATGCTAGTGTAGTTCAAATAAGGAGAAACAGGTTATGACTTAGTGAAAAATGGAGTATTACGACAAATAGCCTATGTACGTACTCGTCACCTCTATACACGACACTCACATATCAAAACAATACCAAATCCTAAGGGGAGTTCCCCCACACAAGGTTAGGTAAGCCACTTACCTCGAACCAAGCTCAAATCAATTCGTCACAATACTCTTTCCACGAATATCTGGCTCCGAGTGGCCCAAATCTAGCCAAAATCATTTGCATAACATAAATATAACTACAAAAAACTAATCTAGCTAATGAAATCAAAGCTAACGCAAGAAATTGGAAAATCGCCCAAAAAGCCTCCCCGGCCACGTCTCGGAATCGGGTAAAAGTCGCAAATTATGAACACCCATTCACTCACGAGTTCACCCGTACACAAATTATCCAAATCCGATGCCTAAATCCCAATCAAAACTCAAAATTTCGGTTGAAGAACTTTTTCCCCATTTTCCAAACTTCTCACCTAAATTCCTTAATTTAATGAAGAAAAAACCTATGAATTAATGAAATACAATCAAAAACGAGTTAGGAATGGTTACCCGAAAACTCTCTCTGAAAATCCCTCGAAGAATCGCCAATTTCCGAGCTCTCAAGTCCAAAAACGAAGAATGAATTCAAACCCTCGAAACTCTCTCTTTTCTGCCCAGCGAACTCGCTTCTTCACCCAGTTCCGACTACAGTCCAAATTCTAAGACTTAAGCCTCCATTTAGGGACTAAGTGTCCCAAAATACTTCAAAAC